AAGGTGGTATAGAGTAGACTCAATAATTAAGAACACTTGTTCCTCTTTCAGAGACCCAGAATTGGATTTCTTACACTCCCATAGCAGATTATGACCATCTGTAATTCTAGTCCTATGGAATCCAATGATCTCTTCTGACTGCCAATGTCACCAGGCACACACATGGTGCATAAACATACATGAAAACAAAATACTCACACATATAAAATAACAAAAGAAATAAAACTAAAAAAATTATGCAGATAAAAAAGAAGGGATCTGAATTAAGGCATAAAGAGAAAGAAAATGGGCTGAGAGTGCCATACTTGAAGGAGGAAAGCACCCAATCCTTTGTCACATAAAGTTGTCTTGCCTTTGTGCTTTCTGGTCCCCCAAGGCACTTTGGCCCTGCCCACTCTGCTGGTGTGTCCTGTGCAGATCACTAGCAAGGCCTGCAGTGACAGAGGCATATCTCCAGCCAGCAGACCAGTCAGGTGATGTGTATTAGAAACCAGGGCAAGAAAGGCTTTTGTGTCTTGAGAAGGAGCTCCTGAGTTGGGACAGTCACTGCCTCCACATTTTAACTATGCTCCTTGTTTTCTCTGCTGTGAAATTCCCTGATGGAGTCAAAATCTGAAAAAAGCAGTCAGTTTCCTTTGTACAAAGCATCATCAGAGGTCCTAGACTCCTCTGGCTCCCTCAAAGTAAGGCCTGAAGGCTTTTAGGAGCATCTAATAAGACTGTATGTAATAAGGTGCGGTGGGGGGACATTTGGCTCAACCGAAAGAGTCAGAACCATTTTGGGTGATTTTAAAACTGTATCTTCAAAAATTAAAAACTTTTTCTTTGTCCTCTGAAGTATCATGAAGCAAAATTAAATCAACAAGTGAAGCTACTTTCTCATCCTAGAACCTTTTGTCCCTATTAATTTTATTTTTTATTTTTATCTTTTGTCTTCTTGTCTGTTTGAGTGTACTGACTAGGTTTGTGGAGGAATTTGAATTACAATTTACTCAACTTTATGCTGTGGGTCTAAGCAATCTATCAAATTCTGTGTCACAAATTCATCAATATGAATTGATCAATATGAACTCAGTTCTCAAAGGTAATAGTTTATTTTTAAGGTTTTAACTACATATTCCCATACCTTTAAATTTAGAGAACCATGGACAGAGTTTTTGAATTAAAGCAATTTTTTGAACATTTTTAGCAATACTTAATGCAGAAACAAACAATCAAAGCATCTAAAGGAAAAAAAAGGTGACAAAAGTTTGTTGAGGCTGTGTGGTGATCATCTCAGTGCCCCAGGTATAGACAGCAAGGATCTGTTCTCTGTTGTCCAGACTACCAGTAAGCTAGAACAACAGGCTTTGAATCAAAACTAGAATATAGTACCTAAGGAATTTCAGTAAGGCACTCAAAGGTAATCCCAGCAGAAGGTATAGACAGAAGTTTCTATTCTGCCAGTTCTGCAGACATTCAGTCCCAAAAAAACCAGAGACATATTAATTATAAACTGGTTGGTCTATTAGCTCAGGTTTATTATTAACTAGTTCTTACAACTTAATGCATAATTCTTGTCTATATTTATCCATGTGACTTGATACCTTTTCTCAGTGCAGCATTCTTATCTTGTTTCCTTTGCATCTGGCTAATGACTGATTCCCTGTCTTTCCTCTTACCAGAATTCTCCTAGTCTGGTTGTCCTGCCTATGCTTCCTGCCTGACTACTGGCCAATCAGTGATTTATTAAACCTATATGGGTGACAAATCTTTATAGTGTATAACAGAATTATTCCACAGAAGTCTCTCTTTTATTCTTTTCAAAACAAGACCCTGAATCTTGTTTTGAAGATTAGTTTTTTTTTCTGACCATTATACATAACAACTTGCAACTAACACACTAAAAACAGACATACATCCATAATCCATTTTTTAGGAATTTGGGCAGAGTTTTCTATGCTACTTCCTCCTAATTGAGGGCACTGGTAATCTTATGGGGACCCAAAGAAAATTTAGGATTGTGACCAAGTCCTGATTGGAACATTCTGTGAGACTGGATCATCTCTGCCAGCAGTTTCAAAGCTGTTCATGAAGTAGAACCCAGAGGAAACTGCAACAAAGGTGCTCTGAAATGTTTGATCATCTGGGCCATCCAGTCCTATCAGAGATTTTTCAGGAGGTCTTCCTAGATCAAACCTTATTTTTCGTACCCAAGAATAAATCCATAGCCTCTCTTTTCCTGTGTAAACAAAAGCAAAATCTCTTCTCCAAAGTAACATATCTTTTGACTTTAATATTGAAGTTAGGGCATTTTCAAAATATGTAAATTGGATTAATCAGCATCATTTATAATCAAATGTTTTTTAGCAGCTGTTGCTCTTTCCTTAGTAGCCAAACAACTTAAAAACAACACAATAACATACAGTAGCCAGACTCGCAGTGTATTTTCCATCTTTATGTAGCTTTTTTAACTTTATGTTTTAATTTTTTTTTAAGGCGGGGTTTCTCTGTGTGTCTTTGGTTGTCCTGGAACTCACTCTGTAGACCAGGCTGGCCTCAAACTCAAAGAGATCCACCTGCCTTTACCTCCCATGTACTGGGATTAAAGGTGTGCACCACTCTACACTCTGCATACCCATCTACTCTATTTTTTAAAGAATTTTCTCTATGCTTTTTCTTTTGTCTCCCCATCCTACATATATTTTTAAACATACTGTAACAGTTTAGAGTTTTGTGTTTGCTTTTGTTTTTTCTCCATCTCTTTCTGAGCACATGAGTCTTAAATCTGCTAAGCAGTATGACTAAGATTAATGCTGCAGCCTTGGCAGCTGGTTCTACCCCATTCCTTAGCTTTCTGAGAGTCTAGCTACATGGTGGAGGTATTGGAGTGAGCCATTTTTGTTGCCACAACTCTGTGGAGTCTCAAGGCTCATGCCACCATCAAGAAGCCTGATACTAGCTGCTCATAAACACCATTTGAGTATTTGGTGGCAGAATTTTTTGGTTTCTTTTTTTGAAGACTGATGTTTTTCATGTTTTGACTTTTACAGTTTTTGTTTTTGAACACAAGGTTTCTCTGTGTCACCCTCCCTGGATGTACTGAAAGCAGCACTGTAAACCAGGATGGTCTTGAACTCAGTGATCCACTGAACTCTATCTTCCACGTACTAAGATTAAAGGTGGGCCGACATACCTGGCTGCTTTTTATATAATTGGCTGATGGGCCTGGAATGTAGATTTTTGTGCGTGTCAAGAATATGTTGATGTGATAAACTTCACCTCCATCTTGAATTTTGAAATTTGGCAGAGGGTATCATTTTGTTTCCCAGGATAGCATGTATTCATCACATTAATACTGCTTGAGTCTTCTGAGTCATTGGATTGCAGTTGTGTGACATTCTTCCTACCTGTTTGTTTTGATTTTTTTAATAAATAGGAGTATTTTGAATGTGTGCATGAATATGTGTCACATGTATGGCTGCTCCTCACAATAGTCAAAAAATGGCCTCAAAACCACTGAACATGGAGTAATGGATAGTTATGAACCCTAGTGTACATACTGACAATTGAGCCCATCTACATGCAAGACCAGCAGAACTCTTAACTGCTGAGCCATCTCTTCTCCCTTATGTTGTTTATAATCAACATTTACAATGCTAATTATTTTCATTGGTCCATTTGTAACTGTTTAAACATGTATTCCCTTTTAGTGACATATTAATGTTAGAGTTTAGATTGGGGTTTTTCACTTTTCTAGAAAATCAGTACAGAACTGGAATGAATGCCAAACTCTTGGTAGGAACTTAAGTAAAAACCTCTGAGTTAGTTCTATGTTTTTGCTTGTTTGGTTTTTGCAGGGGAGACAAAGTCTTAATATGTACTTCTGGTTGTTCTGGGATTCGTTGCATAGATCAGGTTGACATTGAACTCATGAAATCCCCTACTTCCTTAGTACTGGAATTAAAGGCGTGAGCCAATATACCCAGCTTGCCATCTTTTTTATAGTTAGTAATTATTAAAAATCATTTCTCTGATACATACTCACTATTGTTCATCTTTCTGTTTGTCTCTCGGTGTTTGTTAATAGGCATTTTTCTTGCAAGATTATATCTTATTCATATGGTGCATAAATGGCAGGAGATAACCTCTTCTTCAGTTTCCTTCTGAAAGGATTTGGTAATTACTTTGTAATGGCAGTATCATGGTGTAAGTGTGATAAGCACCAGAACTTTATGAGTATATTTTTAGTGAAATATACATTTTCTATGCTGCCTATAGAAACCTTTCTATTGTACACAGGTATGGAATATTTTAGAATCTATGATGATGTATATGTTAACCTCAGTCAAGAAGAGTAAACTCTCCTGGATCCTTCCCAGAAGAGTCTCTACAATGTGATGCTGGAAACCTATAGTAATCCCAATACTGTAGGTAACACTGCTAGTTTTCCTTCAACTTTTAAAATAAGAGGATAAGTGTTTCTTGAGAAAGAGGAATAATGTGGTGAATTGCTGTGGGACAATGGTCTTGTACTTTGTAAAGATTTGTCACTTGTATTGTTTTAATAAAACACTGGTTGGTCAGTAGCCAGGCAGGAGGATTAAGTGGGACGAACAGGTAGGAAGTATAGTCAGGGTGACAAGAACAGGAGAATTCTGGGAAGAAGAAAGTCTCAGTCTTCAGTTGTCACTCAGTCACAGAGGAAGAAAGATGACAATGACTCATTGATAAAAGGTACCAAGCCATGTGGCTAACACAGACAAGAATTATGGGCTAAGATGTAAGAATTAATTAATAAGAAGCCTGAGCTAATAGGCCAACCAGTTTATAAGTAATGTGAGTCTCTGCATTTCTTTGGTACTGTGTGTTTCTTTGGGACTGAACAGCTGCAGGACTGGGCAGGACAGAAAACAACAGTGAATTCTTCAGGCATGGCTTTAAGGGTCATAAAAGGTAGTAAGTTAAACTTTGCATAATTCCAAGTAATATAACATGTTTTTTCTGGTACTATATTTTAGGCTACAAATGTGAAGACCATAATGTTAAAGAACATTGACAAAAACAAGAAAGGTAATTTTCATGTGATTTCTTATGCAAATGTACCTCTGAAGAAAATGTAATGTGCCTTGAATGATTTAATGAAAAGGAACAATGTGAGAAGAAAAGTTTTAAGTGTATTGGTGATTATTAAATTTTCGGAAAAGTATGTACTGCAATGTCAGGTAGCTGATTTGTTTTTTCAAGGAATTCATGTAAGAAAAAAGACAAAGAAACAATGTCTTAAAATATATCACCATTTGAATAATCACCCCATGAAAACCATGTTGTACAACTGCCAATTTATTTAGTTTTATACTACTCAGGTACTACAAAACACACACACATTGAATAGTTGATGAGTATACATTCAAGAAATTATACTCATAAAATATTCTTTTATAAAGCTGGTATTACTCATATACTTGTGACTTTGCTAAATTTAGTGAGAGGTACAGTTTATGAGAGTCAAGAGATTGCTATGGAGAAACTACATCCCTACACTACATATCTATGAGGAACAAGAAGTCAAATTGTATGAATATAATATAGAAAACTTTTATTTGTTATTCTTCCTTTAATAGGTATATTCTATGTCACAATGAATGAGAATAGGGATATGGAAAGAAACAATGTACCCCTCTCTCTCCCAGGACAATTAGAAGATTTGTAGTAGTCCCCACTTTGAATAGACTTGTTAAAAGTGACACAGTTTACAACTAATTGGTTTTACAACTTCATTGTGAATACATCAAAAACTCAAACTGTAGGAAAGCCTTATGAGTACTGATACTCATAAACTAAGCCGTTTGATTAGTTTGGCTAGGGGTTTGTCAATCTTGTTGATTTTCTCCAAGAACCAGCTTTTTGTTTCATTGATTCTTTGGATTGTTTTCTGTGTTCCTATTTTGTTGATTTCAGCCCTCAGTTTGGTTATTTCCAGTCTTCTACTCCTCCTGGGTGAGTCTGCTTCTTTTTTTTTCTAGACCTTTCAGGTGTGCTGTTAAGTCTCCAATGTGTGCTTTCTCCATTTTCTTTATGTGGGCACTTAGTGCTATAAACTTTCCTCTTAGCACTGCTTTCATGTTGTCCCATAGGTTTGAGTATGTTGTGTCTTTATTTTCATTGAATTCAAGGAAGACTTTAATTTTTTTCTTTATTTCATCCTTGACCCAGGGGTGGTTCAGTCATTGACTGTTCAGTTTCAATGAGTTTGTAAGCTTTCTGAGGGTAGAATTGTTGTTGAATTCTAAGTTTATTCCATGGTGATCTGATAGTACACAAGTGGTTACTACAATTTCTTTGTATCTGTGGATGTTTGCTTTGTTACCAATTACATGATCAATTTTTGAGAAGGTTCCATGAGATGTTCTTTTCTGTTTGGGTGGAATGTTCTATAGATGTCTGTTAAGTCTATTTGGTTCATTAAATTGTTCTCTTATTTCTCAAGTTTCTGTCTGGTTGGCCTGTCCATTAGACACTATTAGAGTGTGGGGTTTGATGTATGCTTTGAGTTCTAGTAATGTTTCTTTTACATATGTGAGTGCTTTTATATTAGGGGCATAGATATTCAGGATTGAGACTTCCTCTTGATGAATTGTTCCTTTTATGAGAATAAAGTGTCCTTCTCCATTTCTTCTCACTGATTTTAGTTTGAAATCAATTTTGTTAGATATTAGTATAGCCATACTCACTTGTTTCTTTGGACTATTTGATTGGAAAATCTTTTCCCAACCCTTTACTCTGAGGTAGTGTCTGTCTTTGCGGTTGAGGTGTGTTTCTTGTAAATAGCAGAATGTTGAATCCTGTTTTTATATCCATTGTCTTAACCTCTGCCTTTTTATAGGTGAATTGAGTCCATTGATATTAAGTGATATTAATGACCAGTGGTTGCTAACTCCGGTTACTTTTTCTGGTGGTAGTGTTTGTGTGTTTCCTTTCTTTGAGTTGTGCTGGTGGAAGGTTGTCAGATGCTTGTGTTATTATGGGTGTTGTTGACTTCCTTGGTTTGTGGTTTTCCTTCTAGTATTTTTTGTAAGGCTGGGTTTGTGGCTTTGTATTGTTGAAATCTGTTTTTGTCCTGGAATATCTTGTTTTCTCCATCGATGGTGAATGCAAGCTTTGCTGGATATAGTAGTCTGGGCTTGCATCCATGGTCTCTTAGTGTCTGCAGCACATCTATCCAAGACCTTCTGGCTTTCATGGTTTCCATTGAGAAGTCTGGTGTAATTCTGATAGGTTTCCCTTTATATGCTACTTGACCTTTTTCCCTTGCAGCTCATAATATTCGTTCTTTATTTTGTATGTTTTGTGTTTTGATTATTATATGGCGAGGGGATTTTTTTTTTTTGATCCAGTCTATTTGGTGTTCTGTATGCTTCTTGTACCTTCATAGGAATATCCTTCTTTAGGTTGGGAAAGTTTTCTTCTATAATTTTGTTGAATATATTTTCTGGGCCTTTGATCTGCAATTCTTCTCCTTCTTCTACCCCTTTTATTCTTAGGTTTTTTCTTTTCGTGGTTCCCCAGATTTCCTGGATGTTTTGTGTTAAGAATTTGTTGGATTTGTTTTCTTATTTCATCAATGAGTTTATTTCCTCTATAGTATCTTCAGTGTCTGAGATTCTTTCTTCTATCTCTTGTATTCTGTTGGTAATACTTGTCTCTGTAGGTCCTGTTCGTTTACCCAGATTTTCCATATCCAGCCTTACCTCAGTTTGTTTTTTCTTCATTACCTCCATTTCATTTTTCAAGTCTTGAACTGTTTCCATTACTTGTTTGATTGCTTTTTCTTGGTTTCCTAGGGTATCTTTGAGGGATTTATTCATTTCTTAAAACTTTTTGTTATTCTTCTCATCCATTTCTTTAAGCGAGTTTTTCACATCCTGTTTTAGGGACTCTATCACTTTCATAATGTTATGTTTAAAGTCAATTTCTTCTATTTCTTCTGGAGTAGGGTGTTCAATTCTTCTTGTTGCATGAACCCTGGATTCTGGTGATGTCATGTTGCCTTTCAGGTTGATGGAGGAATTCTTGCATTGGAGCCTGCCCATCTCTTTCTTCAAATGCAGCCAGGAGAGTCTTGGTGTCTTGGTCCAATCTTTGCTGTGATTGACTCTCTGGGTGGATCTCATCAGTGCAGGAGCAGGAACTGTTCCCCTCTCGGTAGATAGCCTCAGTGCAGGAGTAGGCACTGTTCTTGGGCCAAAGACCTCGCAGACACTAGGGTAGGCTTGGGGGAGGCAAGGATGTATGGAACAAAGAAGCCCCTGCAGCAGGAGCTGAAGGCACCCAGTGCTCCTTTCCCAGACTTTCTGCTCCGCCCTGGGATGGCAACCACTCACCGGTCTGAAAGGTTGTCCTCAGTACAGGGAGAGGCCTCTTGGAGGTCCAAGGACCCCGCCGACAAAAGGGCGAACTTGGGATGATGGGGAAGTATAAATTTTAAAATAATATCAGGGTCTGTGCTTGAATGATGGATGAAGATGAGATCCAAAACAAATTCAACCAGAAATACAGGGCCCAGGGGGAGGAGAGAAGCTTATTAAAGGCTTATTAAACATGGGTGCGGATGTATCAGTACTCCAGAATCTTGACATCCAAATTGTCCTCTTCAGGAGGCAAGATGTTCAGTTCTTGGGAGTTCTTGGGAGATGTTCAGTTCTATCTCAGTTAAAACGAAGCCCAAGATGGGTTGAATGCATAGGGCCAGAAGGGCAAATAGAAATACTAAGGCCATATGTAGCCATTTGTGCTGTGAATTTCTAGGGTCATGACCTATTGCAGCAATGGAATACCCAGTTTAACTCTCCTGCAGCCCCAAAACTTACGTTTCTGAGTAAAATATTAGAAGATATTATTGACAATGGACACCAGCCATTCAGGCTGTACATGAACACAAAGCAATTGATAAATCTTCAGAGGTACCAACAGCCCTGCCTTTAAAATGGTTAATTGAGAAACCAATATGGGTTAGGCAGTGGCCTCTAACTGAGGAAAAGTTGCAGGCTTTAGAACAGCTGGTACAAGTGCAAGTAGAAGCTCAACATATAGAAGAATCTACCAGCCCTTGGAATTCCCCTGTATTTGTTGTTAAAAAAAGAAATCTGGAAAATAGACAATGGTGACAGCTCTAAGCTATCAACAAGATTATTCAACCTATGGGCCCTCTACTATCTGGAATTCCTCTGCATTCTCTGGTACTAAAGGGATGGCCTCTCATAGTTACTGATTTAAAGGATTGTTTCTTCACTATACTTTTACAAGAAAAGGATAGAGAAAAGTTTGCCTTCACAGTACCTACTTATAATAATTCTCAGCCTACTAGGAGATAGCAATGGACCATTCTCCCATAGGGAATGCTCAATAGCCTCACCAATGGGGCCAATACTTTGTCAGCCAGCCATTGGAGATAATATATAAGCAATTTCCTAAGTCTGTAATCTACCATTAAGTGGATGACATTTTGTTATCTGTTTCAAATACAGATACTTTAGAAAGGATGTTTGAGGAAGTAAAGAAAGTCTTGCCTCAATGGGGATTACAAATTACTCCTGAAAAGATTCAAAGAGGAGATTATGTTAATTACCTAGGTTACAGAATAGGTTTACATAAAATTAGAACACAAAAGCCACAGATTAGGAGAGATTGGATACTGACTCTTAATGACTTTCAAATATTATTAGGAGACATTTCTGGTCTATGACTGGCTGCTGGGATAACACCTGATCTAATAATTTATTTAAACAAAACTTTAGATGGTAATAAAGACTTGAATAGTCCCTGAGAATTAACAGCTGAATCAGAAAAGGAATTGATGATTGTTGAGGAGAAATTACAGGAGGCACGTGGATAGGGTGAATCCAAATCTTAATTGTATTCTAGTCATATTGCCTTCCAGAATTTCTCCTACAAGAATATTAATGCAGAGAGACGATATTATCTTAGAATGGATTTTTTTACCACATAAACCAAGTAAAAAATTAAAAACTTATGTGGAAAAGGTCTCTGAATTAATTATAAAAGATAAATTGAGACTTTGTCAATTAGCAGATATAGACCCAGCAGAGATTATTAGTGCCTTTTATTGCTGAAGAAATAAAAAAGTTATTGGAAGACAATGAACCGTGGCAAAGGGCTAGTGCTAATTGCTTGGGAGAAATTAATAACATAAAGAGAACTTCTTGAATTCTTCCTCAAATTGTACATGATGCACCAATAACTGGAGCCTGTACATTTTATACTGATGGAAATAAATCAGGGAAGGCAGGTTACAAGTCAGAGAATTAAGTAAGGTAGAACAAAGCCTTTATAATTCTGTCCAGAAGACAGAATTATATGATATTCTTATGCTACAAAGGTATTTTAAAGCACTTCTTAATATAGTTACTGATTCACAATATGCAGAAAGAGTTGTCTTGCATATTGAAACTGCTGAATTTATATTAGATGAAATGGAATTGACTTCATTATTCATCCAGGTGCAAGACATAACCAGGAATAGGCTTTTTCCTATATACATAACACACATCCAATCCCATACTTATCTGCCAGGTCCTCTAGCACAAGATTATGCAGAAATTGATCAACTATTGATTGGAAGTGTGTTGCAGGCCTCTGAATTTCATAAAAAACATCATGTCAATAGCAAATGTTTAAAGAAAGGGTTTTCTATTACATGGGAACAAGCCAAGGAGATTATAAAGAGGTATCCTACTTGGTCTTTCTATAATCAAGCACCATTGCCTGCAGGGAGTAACCCAAAGGATATTCAAAGGGAATGAGATCTGGCAGATGGATGTGTTCCACTTTATGGAATTTGATAAATTAAAATATGTACACCGCACCATAGACACATATTCAGGTTTTCAATGGACAACTTTTTTGAGCTCAGAAATGACTGATTCAGTAATCACACATTTATTGGATGTATGGCCATCATGGGTATACCTGCACAAATAAGGACAGACAATGGTCTGGCATATGTATCCAGGAAAATGATGTCTTTTATTTTTTTGCTTATTATTATTATAGCACATTACAGGTATACCAAATAATCCTATAGGTCAGGCAGTTATAGAAGGGTTTAATCATACTATAAAAGATAAACAGAAAGAACAAATTGAAAGGGATAGAAAATACCCCCAGAAATAGATTACATAATGCTTTATTAACCTTGAATTTTCTTAACGCTATAAGAAAGGATCAGCAGCAGCAGAGAGGCATTGAATAATGCAAAAAAACTTCTGAATTGAATCAACTAGTATATTTCAAGGATGTGTTGACCTCACAATGGAAACAAGGAGATGTACTGCATTGGGGAAGGGATTTCACTGGTGTGGGACAATCCTATATTCTGTCAATTATGCTTTAAATAAATGCTGATTGGCCAGTAGCCAGGCAGGAAGTGGGACAACCAGACAGGAAGTAGAGGTGAAGCAAGGAGAACAGGAGAATTCAGGGAAGGAGGAAGCCCATTTCTCTGTAGTCCTGTTCAGACACCAAAGAAGCAGGATGTGACCTATCGCACTAAAAAATTTACTGAGGCACGTGGCTAACATAGATAAGAATAATGGGCTAATATAAAGTATAATAGTTAATACAAAGCCTGAGCTAATGGCCCAATCAGTTTTATAACTTATGGAGACCTCTGTATGTTTTTCTTTGGGGCTTACTGGCTGTGAGAACTGGGCAGGACAGAAATCCCAAAAAGCAACCCTTCATGTTACATTTCACTCTTGTTTCCACAGGAGAAGAAAAATTATGTATATCACCAAAATTGATAAAGATACACTTGGAAAAGGATAAACCTCTTGAAAAGGAGAAATGACAGCTCGTTCACAACAGTGACAATCATACTGGTGATGAGAAAAACTCATAAGGGTTAGGGCAGGGTTCTGCTCTTATCTTTGCAGGAAAATAAACATCATCAAAAATTCAAGAGACCCTGAATGTTTGAATTCTGACAGAAGGAAAAATAACTATCCACTAAGGAGCATCTAGAAAACAGAATATGGATTATGAATCCAGGTACTGGTTAGACTTACATTTACACACACACACACACACACACACACACACACACACATATTCAGCTGGTTTTGGAGTTGAACAATGACTCTCTACTTCTCTAAATTCAAGCCTGTTGTTAAAAGGAACTTTCAGAGTTTCTGTCTCATAGCAGGAGCCATCTGGTATGAGACAAAAGGAAGACTTTAGGAAAAGTCTTTTCTTTCTCCACACCTATTTTGTCTATATCATAGTCTTCACTGAATGTATGTTTATATAAATGATGTTAAAGTTTTCCACAATGAACAGAAGTTTCAAGGAAGAAGATGGGGCCTCCCAGCAACAACTCCACCTAGTTGAAATGATGCCATGATGCTGACAGCACTACTATAAGATGTTACCTTTTGGGTACCATCTGCTGAAATGGTGCACCGTCTCATGACATTCTGGTCCAAACTCCAAATAAGAACTTTTAAAAAAAAATCTATCACCTGCTCAGAAATTGTTTGCAACTATAATAGACAGTAATTTTGAAACCTAATCATAACTTTACTTTTGCAGGATCCCATTAGGAGAACATTGCCCCCATGACAGCGGGAAGCAATTTTAGAAGATGAAACCCCCATCCCAAAAAAGTTTGTCCATAGGGTTGGGAACACTGTATAGGGGTTATTGATTATCACTTGTACTAGATAAAGGGTTGGGGTGAAAACTATGTTTGCTTAAAAAAAAGGGAATTGTAATAATAGGTAATAGAGTGAATACTTATGAGCTATTATTTATGGATAATTTACATTGGTATAGTTTTTTATATTGATACAAGTTCAAATTATAATTGTTATTTTTGTTTACATTATTTGTACACCTATACAAAGTTATTCTGGCAGACTGTATATATGCATGTTTTTATCTCTGTTTAGGACATTTTGTATATATTTTTATTTATTTATTTATTTATTAAAATTTTCCACCTCTTCCCCTCCTCCCTTTTCCCTCCCCCTTCCCACCTCCCCCTCCCTACCTTCCCCTCCCTCTCTAGTCTTAAGAGCAGTCAGGGTTCCCTGCCCCGTAGGAAGTCCACAGTCCTCCCCCCTCCTTCCAGGTCTATAAAGGTGAGCATCCAAACAAACCAGGCTCCCACAAAGGCAGTCCATGCAGTAGAATAAAAACCCAGTGCCATTGTCCTTGGCTTCTCAGTCAGCCTTCATTGCCAGCCACATTCAGAGTGTCCGTTTTGATCACATGCTCCATCACTCCCAGTCCAGCTGGCCTTGATGAGCTCCCATTAGATCAGTCCCACTGTTTCAGTGGGTGGACGCACCCCTCGTGTTCCTGACTTCCTTGTTCATGTTCTCCCTCCTTGTGCTCCTCATTTGGACCTAGGGAACTAAGTTCAGTGCTCTGATGTGGGTCTCTGTCTCTATCTCCATCCATCACCAGATGAAGGTTCTATGGTGATATGCAAGGTATTCATCAGTATGGCTATGGGACAAGGCCAGTTCAGGCACCCTCTTCTCTGCTGCCCAAGAAACAATCTGGGGAACTCTCCTTGGACCTGGGAACCCCTCTAGAATCAAGGCTCTTGCAAACCCTAAAATGGCTCCCTTAGTTGAGATATTTACTTCCCTGCTCCCATATCTACCCTTCCTCCATCCTATTCATCCCATTCCCCCAAGCATTCCTGAATCCTCCCCTTCTCCCTTCTCTCTACCCATCTCCCCTTACATCCACCCAGCAGTCCCCCTCCTCCCGTGCATCCAAGTTTGCCTGGCAATCTTGTCTACTTCCAATATCCAGGAGGATAACTATATGGTTTTCTTTGGGTTCACCTTCTTATTTAGCTTCTCTAGGGTCACAAATTATAGGCTCAAAGACCTTTAATTAAGGCTAGAATCCACTTATGAGTGAGTACATACTATATTTCTCTTTTTGGGTCTGGGTTACCTCACTCAGTAAAGCGTTTTCTATTTCCATGCATTTGCATGCAAAATTCAAGACGTCATTGTTTTTTACCGCTGAGTAAAACTCTAATGTGTCTATGTTCCACACCTTCTTTAACCATTCTTCTATTGAGGGGCACCTAGATTGTTTCCAGGTTCTGGCTACTACAAATAGTGCTGCTGTGAATATAGTTGAACAAATGCTTTTGTAGTATGTTAGGGCATCTCTTGGGCATATTCCCAAGAGTGGAATTGCTGGGTCCTGAGGGAGGTTGACTCCCAGTTTCCTGAGAAACCGCCACACTGATTTCCAAGATGGCTGCACAAGTTTGCATTCCCACCAACAATGAATGAGTGTTCCCCTCACTCCACATGCTCTCCAGCATAGGCTATCATTGGTGTTTTTGAGTTTAGCTATTCTGACAGGTGTAAGATGGTATCTCAAAGTTGTTTTGATTTGCATTTCCCTGATCACTAAGGAGGTTGAGCATGACCTTAAGTGTCTTCTGGCCATTCGAAGTTCATCTGCTGTGAATTCTCTGTTCAGTTCAGTACCCCATTTTTTAATTGGGTTAATAAGAGTTTTAATGTCTAGTTTCTTGAGTTCTTTGTATATTTGGAGATCAGACCTTTATCTGATGAGGGGTTTATGAAGATCTTCTCCCAGTCCGAAGGTAGCCTTTTTGTCTTACTGATAGTGTTCTTTGCTTTACAGAAGCTTCTCAGTTTCAGGAGGTCCCATTTATTCATTGTTTCTCTTATTGTCTGTGCTACTGGCATTCTTCTTAGGAAGTGGTCTCCTGTGCCTATGTCTTGTAGACTACTTCCCACTTTCTCTTCTATCAGGTTCAATGTGGTCAGATTAATATTGAGGTCTTTAATCCATTTGGACCTGAGTTTTGTGCATGGTGATAGTTATGGATCTATTTTTATTCTTCTACAGGTTGACATCCAGTTATGCCAGCACCATTTGTTAAAAATGCTTTCCATCTTCCATTGTATACTTTTAGCTTCCTTGTCGAAAATCAGGTGCTCATAGGTTTGTGGGTTAATATCCGGGTCTTCTATTCAATTCCATAGGTCGACTTCTCTGTTCTTATGCCAATACCAAGCTGTTTTCAATACTGTAACTCTGTAATAGCGTTTGAAGTCAGGCATGGTAATGCCTCCAGAAGTTCCTGTATTATATAAGATTGTTTTGGCTATCCTGGGATTTTGTTTTTCCATATAAAATTGATTATTGTTCTCTCAAGGTCTGTGAAGAATTTTGATGGGATTTTGATGGGGATTGCATTGAATTTGCTTTTGGTAGAATTGCCATTTTTACTATGTTGATCCTCCCAATCCAAGAGCAAGGGAGATCCTTCCATTTTCTGGTATCCTCCTCAATTTCTTTCTTCAAAGACTTAAAGTTCTTGTCAAATAGGTCTTTCACTTCCTTGGTTAGAGTTACCCCACGATATTTTATGCTATTTGTGGCTATCGTGAAAGGTGATGCTTCTCTGATTTCCCTCTTGGCTTTTTTATCCTTTGTGTATAGGAGGGCAACTGATTTTTGGAGTTGATATTGTATCCTGCCACATTACTAAAGGTGTTTATCAGCTGTAGGAGTTCTTTGGTAAAGTTTTTGAGGTCGTTTACGTACAGTATCATATCATCTCCAAATAACGAAAGTTTAACTTCTTCCTTTCATATTCGAATCCCCTTGATCCCCTTATGTTGTCTTAATGCTATTGCTAAAACTTCAAGCACTATAATGAAAAGGTATGGAGAGAGTGGACAGCCTTTTCGTTTTCCTGATTTTAGTGGAATGACTTTGAGTTTCTCTCCATTCAATTTGATGTTAGCTGTTGGCTTGGTGTAAATAGCTTTTATTATATTTAGGTATGATCCTTGTATTCCCAATCGCTCCAACACCTTTATCCTAAAGGGGTTTTGAATTTTTTTCAGCATCCAATGAAATGATCATATGGTTTTTTTTCTTTCAGTTTATTTATATGATGGATTACATTGATAGATTTGCATATGTTGAACCAGCCCTGCATCTCTGGGATGAAGCCTACTTGATCATAATGGATAATTTTTCTAATATGTTCTTGGATTCAATTTACCAGTATTTTATTGAGAATTTTTGCATCGATGTTCATGAGTGAGATTGGCCTGTAATTCTCTTTCTTGGTTGTGTCTTTGTGTAGTTTTGGTATCAGGGTAACTGCAGCTTCATAAAAAGTTTGCCAATGACTCTTCTGTTTCTATATTGTGAAATACATTAAGGAGTATAGGAATTAGCTCTTCCTGGAAGTTCTGGTAGAATTCTCCATTGAAACCGTCTGGTCCTGGGCTTTTTTTGGTAGGGAGATTGTTGATAACAGCTTCTAATTCTTCACGACTCACAGGTCTATTTAAATTTTTCACCTGGTCTTGGTTCAACTTTGGTGTATGGTACTTGTCTAAAAAAAAGTCCATTTGTTTTACATTTTCCAATTTTGTGGCATACAGTCTTTTATAGTAAGATCTAATGATTCTCTGAATTTTCTCTGTGTCTGTGGTTATGTCCCCCTTTTCATTTCTGATCTTATTAATTTGCTTGTTATCTCTCTGTTGTTTGAATAATTTGAATCGGGGTTTGTCAATCTTGTTGATTTTCTCCAAGAACGAGCTTTTTGTGTCATTGCTTCTTCTGTGTTTCTATTTAGTTGATTTCACCCTTCAGTTTGATTATTTCCAGTCTTCTACTCCTCCTCGGTGAATCTGCTTCTTTTTTTCTAGAGCTTTTAGGTGTGCTGTTAAGTCTCCAATGTGTGCTTTCTCCGTTTTCTTTAATTGGGCAATTAGTGCTATGAACTTTCCTCTTAGCACTGCTTTCATAGTGTCCCATAGGTTTGAGTATGTTGTGTCTTTATTTTCATTAAATTCATGGAAGACTTTAATTTCTTCCTTTATTTCTTCCTTGTCCCCTGGGTGATTCCGTAGTTGACAGTTCAGCTTCCATGAGTTTGTTGGCTTCCTCGGGGTAGCATTGTTGTTGAATTCTAACTTTAATCCATGGTGATCCAACAGGACACAGGTGGTTATTAATATTTTTTTGTATCTGTGGAAGTTTGCTTTGTTGCCAAGTATGTGGTCATTTTTTGAGAAGGTTCCATGAGCTACAGAGAAGATGGTAAATCTTTCCTATTTGGGTGGAGTGTTCTATAGATGTCTGTTAAGTTCATTTGTTTCAATACCGCCAATAATTCTCTTATTTCTCTGTTAGATTTCTGTCTGATTGACCTGTCTATTGGTGAGAGAGGAGTGTTGAAGTCTCCTACTATTAGTGTGTGTGGTTTGATGACTGCCTTGAGTTCTAGAAGTGTTTCTTTTACATACGTGGGTGCCTTTATATTAGGGGCATGGATATTCAGGATTGAGGCTTCCTCCTGATGAATTGTTCCTGTTATGAGTAAAAAATGTCCATCTCCATCTCTTCTGATTAATTTTAGTTTGAAGTCAATTTTGTTAGAAATTAGGATGGCCACACCCGCTTGTTTCTTAGGTCTGTTTGCTTGGACAACATTTTCCCAACCCTTTCCTCTGAGTAGATGTCTGTCTTTGTGGTTGAGGTGTGTTTCTTGTAAACAGCAGAATGTTGGATCCTGGTTTCATATCCAATCTCTTTGTCTGTGCCTTTTTATAGGTAAATTGAGTCCATTGATATTTGGTGATATTAATGACCAGTGGTTGTTGACTTCGGTTATTTTTCTTTTTTTAGGTTGTAGAGTTTGTTTGTTTCCCTTCTTTGAGTTGTGCTTGTGAAGGGTTGCTAGATGTCTGAGTTATTGTAGGCAGTGTTGGCAATGTTGGATTCCTTGGTTTGTGATTTTCCTTCTATTACTTTCTGTAAGGCTTGACGGTGCGCTGCAATGGACTCCAGGACAGCTGGGACGGCCCAGCAGGGAAGTTGACTGGGGTGAGAACACTCTGCCCCAAATGTTACAACTCGGTGGCCACACTGCTCACTAAAGCTTGTGCCACATATTCGCTGCCATGCTCCTCTCCTAGGAGCTACAATCCTATTTGAAGAAGACTAAAAGATTTTCTAAAAATCTTTTCTCTATGCCTTAAAATTATTAAAATTATTCTAACTCTTCTTTTAGTAGTTATAAGTTGCCCATTAGGCAAGATTCAAAATCTATAAAATTTAAAACAAATGTCTCTCCCACCAATGTTTTTGTCTATTTCTCAAGAAAACTGTGTCATTAGAAAGTTTGTCTGTTCGTGCATTCTGGTGTGTTCATAAATGTCAGTTAAATATGGCATGGTGAAAAAAATAGGTTGGGTATCTTTGCCTTTGGCGCCTTTGTCACTGCAGTCACTAAGGGGTACCTTGTGGACGCACCTCAGAATATGCCTCTGAACTCTCTAGTCACTGGATTCGGGTATTTGGTGTAGATAACATTAAAGATGCTTCTTGCTCTTCAATTTTTATTAAAAAGCTGTTTATAAAGTTGGGGTCTGGCTCTCTCCTTCTCTAGATTAAAACATGTTTAAAAGTTTCTCTGTGCCCTGTGTCAGGTTGATTCTTCCTGCACAGAGAGCAAAGTTGAACAGACAAAAAAAAAAAAAATTGACATGGTTGTGTAAACATCCTACCCCTCAAGATGTATAAATTAAATGGATTGGGTTTGGTTGAAAATCTATTAAATATATCTATAAGGTTAACTTAAAACTAGTAAAGTAGCACATGTGGTCTGCTGCCATCCTTGTTAGGGTTGGAGAAGATGGATGTGACTTCACCACCATTTAATTAAAGGTAGCCACGTGCAGTGTGCTCAGCAAGGAGACAATAGGTCTCCAATATATTTTATATTAGGATGGACTTTTGTGTAATAATTCCTGTCTTGTTCTAAAACCAAGGTTTATAAATTAATCCTAAATATTAAACATTAAATAATCTATACTATTAGAGTTTACTTTTTACCTCATGTGGATTATGGTTGTGCCCTGTTTATTCTGACTTGAAGTAAAGAAAGGGTACCTTGTTTTTTTGAGCGATCATAAATCTTTTTAAGAGGAAATTTTGAAATTTTACTTTTAAATTACAAAATACTCTATATATTAAGTACTATGTATAAATGCTAAAATAATTAAATACTAAATATAAATACTATATGTATGCTAAAAATAACTTTAGGAAATATTTAGTATTTTTAAGGCTATAAAACATCTTAAGTACATAAAAGGTTTTATTACAATATAATCTTTGTAAATAGGTAGGTTTAACAACAATAAACAACCAACTTTTTTTTTTTAATCAAGGCCTCAGCTAACTTCTCATGTATAGTTTAGGCCACATGACTCATTCTTTCTCCTCATGTTACTACTAGGTCTAGATACAGTTTCCCTTGTTACCAGACTCACAAAGATAAACTCACAGCACACACTTCTGTTGCACAAGTTCTAATTGGTATTAATAATAAAAACCCAGAGCTAGGTATTGGGACCAATGCTGAGAGATCTGAGAAAGAGGAAAAAAACACAGCCAACTCTTAACCTTGCTAATTACTCAGTTGAAAAGAGAATGAGTTCTTATCTCCTCCTGAGTTATATTCATCTCTTCACCCAGTCATATCACTTCCTGTTTTTCTGTACAGACCTCCAGACCTCTATAGCTAACTAGTGGCTAGCTCTGCCCTGAGATTCAGGCAAGCTTTATTTGGAGAGTACAGATAAGATATCACAAATTTCCCCTTTTTGTCTAAAATAAAAAAGGTTATAACTAATATAAGAAAAACTATATACAATAAGCACAACAACTGTATACAGGCAACAAATACATCAAAAATTTATAGTCCATTAGCAATTAACAAATTCAGAGAAATTACTTCAAATCTATCCTACTTTGATAAGTCCAAAAGGTCGTACCTAGTTTATTTTCTATTCTAACTTATATTACCAAAGCTATCTTTTTTTGTTTTGTTTTGTTGTTTTTGTTTTCAAGACAGAGTTTCTCTGTGTAGTGAGCTTGTTTTGGAACTCACTCTGTAAACTAGTCTGGCATCAAACTCACTGTGATTTTCTTGTCTCTGCCTCCTATGTGCAAGTATTAAAGGTGTGTGCCACTACCCCCTGGGCCCAAAACTATCTTTCAATGTCTCTTAACCTTACATACTTTACATCTCTTTAGTGATTTGTTTTTCTGAATCTGGTAACAAGAGAAACTAAAATTATACTCTGATGGAGTGTTCAAGAAGGAAATAATATTACCTGTGTAAGCAGGAAATGCAAGTAAGCAACTTGCAAAATTTGTGACCCAAGGTTCCTCTGCAATGTTCTGACATCCATCTTCAGCCGACTGGCCTAGAATATCTGACAGACTTTTCTGTGAAGCAGAGTATTCTGAATGGCTGTCTTACCTTGTCTTGGTAAAGTCTAACAGTCTTTTCTTTTGGGTCCTGTTTGTCCTATTTGGTCAGCATATTGTCAGCAGAAAGGCAAGAACACTTTTTTGACCAGTGGTTATCTGTTGCCAAAAGAAAGTAAACTCCATGTAAAGTTTCTTTGATGTCCATTATCTTTTCTCAAGTAGATTGTTGCTGTCAGGAGCAAGACATGTCTCTTTGTCCTTAAAAGAAAAGAACCTATGTTATTATAACATCTTAAATGCCATATTCTGTAGTCCTCTGAAGTGTTTGAAGATTACCTATTGATCTGAAATATATTTTTTGACATTGACCTTGAAAACATACCGAATATGACAACAATTTTGACTGTAATGGATGAATAATTGCTAACCTGCATTTCCTTATTATTCTAAGTAGTTGATACTAACTTTCAAGGGCTAAAATTTTACATTACATTGTTAAATGAGCTGTATAGGTATAATTTCTTGAAGATTAGCATGTATGTACTATGTTGTAACAAAATTAAACTCAAATTTGTATCAATATACAAAGATCCATATCAATGTAAAATATTTAAAACAAATAGTTGCTCTTTTTTTAAAAGAAAATTTGATAATCTACCTTTTTATTTCTATTTTCTATAATAATTTATTCTTATATTCTCCCTATATCCCCTTTTTTTCTTTTCAGAACAAGAACCCTGAATCTAAACTCCTTTGTCCAGTTTTTTTTTCTGATTATTACCAATAACAACTTGCAACCAATATCCCTAAACAATGACAGATATCCATAATCCACTATAAGCCCCTCCCCCCAAAAAACCCACTCACACTACCTCTTGGAAATATGTGTCTCATGTTCTTAAAGTTTCTTCCTGCTGTCTGAGGGTGGTGGCAACTTTAGGGGATCCTGAAAAGAAAAATTTGGGTTAATTGTCTAGTCCTGGGAGAGGTAGCAGTATCATTTTCTATCCAGTCTCTGTGTAATGGAAAAGTGCAGGCTTTTTTTCAAGTCCTGGCTAACTGTGAGTCTGGATCATCTCAGCTAGCTACCTCGAAATTGTCCTGAGCAGTTTGTAGTCCAAAGTCAATCTTTAGATGGTGTTGTTCAGCTTACTGGTGTTGTTACAGTCCTGGAAGAATCATTGTGGAACCCCATCTTCCTTTTGGAGACTTCAAAGGTTGCTATTAGGCATTATTGTTTTTCACTGTAGAAAACTTAAGAATTTTAAATGCCATATGCAGCAGGTCTCAAAGAGGTTAAAGCATTATATTTGTTATGTGTATCCAAACTTAATTCTTAGTTACCTGGTAGTGACAGAAACAGGAAATCATATACAAGATAGACAAAGCCTTGTTCTATAATTATTCAATACTCTATATAAGCATTAATATGGTATCAAAAAGTTTAAATGCTATATATATATATGTATATATATTAATCTTATAAAATTTGAGATGATATTTGTATCTTGAGAAAAACTTTAAATAATCAAAATAAAACAAAAGGATTATAAGATTAGTGACAATAAAACAGTCCCTAAATTTTGGTTTTTCTTCTGTCCCATATCAGGTGGTTCTTCTGACATGAGACAGATTTTGGTTTTTACTTTAACAAGCATGCTTGGTTTTAGAGAGGAAGAGAGTCACACTCTAACTTCAAAGCCAGCTTTAATTTTGAATTAGACTGGGACCACAAAAGTATCATTTGCATTCTACCTCTGTATAGAACAGCAGAAACAAACATTTGGAAGGATTTTTGAAATTTTGTTCTGTTGGTGATGTCATATACCAATAGGCCAATTTACTTTTTTTCTTTGGACATTATCTTTGGATGGTTCATTCTTTTTATTTAAATGCCTCATTTGTTTACTGGTCTTCAGATCCCTTAGTCAGATGCCTTTGTTCTCCTGAAAAAGCAAAATCAAAACTCTGCCTCAGTCATAACTTTGGGGAGATTCCCTTTAGGCAAGTTATAGCTGATCAAATGAAAAGCATTTATCAGTCATATAAGTTAATTTAGATTGAATGGTCATGTTGTTTGAGGTCTCTCTTGTTCAAATCAATGTTTATCAATTTTGATGGTATGATGATGTTGGGTATCATTCTATATATGTGTTACTCTTATTGGTTAATGAATAAAAATGCTCTGGTCTATGCCCAGGCAGAATATAGCCAGGCTGGAACAGATATGGAGAAGGAGTAGGTGGAGTCAGGGAGCCAAAGGAGGGAGATGCCTTGAATCTTTCAGGTAAGTCACAGTCTCATAACAATATACTGATTAATAGAGGTTACTTTAAAATTAAAGAACTAGCTAGAAATATGCCTGAGTCATTGTCCAAATAGTGCTATAATTATTCTAGTTTCTATGTGATTATTTGTGTCTGAGTAGTGGGAAATATGGGACATGAACACATGACTCTGAGATTAAGTCTCATGGTCTACTGATTGAGCTAGCTGGGCCAGGAAACAAACAAGCAGTCTCCATCTACAAAATGGTGCTCACCATCTGGGGCATGGATTCACAGAAGACCTAGAAAAATTAGCAAAATTGGGACTTCTAGACTCACAAAAATAGGACTCAATTGGGGCTTCTTGGTAGCTGCATGTTTTCAGATAGGTTGTTTGCTGGCTACAAGCAGTGGCGCAGCTTCTTTAAAAGAAGGCTTTCTGGTTCATGCTGATGGCTGCTCTTGGCATGAATGACTCTTGTTCTTTCGGGTGGCCCTGTTATGGACCATTTAAATGGGGTTTGTGAGCAGAGTGCTACAAGCTGCTTTATGGTGACATAGATCCTTACATCCCTCAAGCTGGGGCAGTGAGTATGGCTTGCAGAGGTGATTAACATACCTCTGCTATATTGGATAGGGCAGAGCCAATAGGCAGGGCTGAGGAGTTGGTTCTGCTTAGCAATAAAAAAGGTGTTCCTGGTCAGAAAATGATTACAGATACACAATAAAGACAGATTCAGATGAAAAAGACATCTAAATGGGTCACAGTGTTGGATGAATGTACATGGGCTCATGAGAGAGAAGAAAGACTACAGTAAGTCATAGATTAAAGGAGGAAAAAATAGTAAAATATTAAAAATAAACCACATAAAGATGAAATATACACAAAGTCTGGATTAGATATATTATTATGTTTTCTTTGATTCTAGAAGCTGCTAAGTTAAACCAACTTAAAGATATCTTGACTTAAAACTTTAAGTCTAGGGACATGTTACTTTGAAAAAAAGGTTCCATTTTGCTTCTACAGAAAATGAGAAACTGTGGATTTCTTCCAGGTTAATGTGGTTTGATGGAAAAAAAAACCCAAAAGGTCTCTGTGAACCCTAAAAATACTTCACCCAAAAATAGCAGAAAGAGGTTTGGAGAAACCTTTGCCCAAATTCTTCAAAATAATTTTTTTGTAAATGTTTGTTTTCATTTAAATGGGGTTGATTGTAAGTGATTAATTATCACAGTAAATTTCTATAAAAATAAGGAAAATATGATATAAAGATGAACACTTTGCATTGGTATGAATCTTGGTCTATTGATACACATTTGAAGTCACTTTGCTATACTGTGTATATGTATTTCTGCTTTTGTTTAAGGTATTATTTCTATGCAGCTCATTCAAAAATGTAATGAATAGTTATAGTCATTTATAATAATCAAGTTTGTTGTCATGTTAGTTAGACTTTCTAGATATACAAGATACATTTCAGTTAGATAGATAATCTTCAACATTTCAAAGGCCTACAGAATACGGCATTTAAAATGTTTTAAGAACTTAGAATTTTCTCTGCAGTGAAACATGTCTGCTTCTGGCAGCACCAATTACTTAAGAGAGGTTGATGGGTATTGAAGAAACTCGATATGGAATTTGCCTTCAATGTGACAAGGCTCACCATTTGGTCATGACTGTTCTTGCCTGAACTTCTTGATGTTTTTCTAACTTGTGGTTTGTAATATATGTGGATATACAGAATGTTAATCTATTTAGAATTATTTCTTTTGTTCAGGATTGTTTTGCCTGCTTGTGGTCTTTTATGGATCCCGATGAATTCTAGGACACATTTTAATTTCCATGAAGAATGATATGAGGATTTTAGCTGGGATTGTACTATGTAAAATTATCATTTTCACATTATTAAGTCTACCAATCTGAGTGTCAGATACTTTTAATTTTCTTGTGTCTTTCTCTATCATTGCAGATGCTCTTCATGTCCTTGATAAGGTTCATTCTTATTTTCTTTGAGGTTATTATAAATGTGATCTCATTTATCATCTATTTGTATGTTGTTTGTATATAGAAAGGCAATTGATTTGTGCAAGATGATTCTGTATTTTGCTATATTGTTTAATTAGCTTATGGTTTCTAAAATTTCCTATGGAACTTATGGAATAGCCCATGTTATCTCCAAATAGAAACAGTTTGATTTCTTAGTTGTGTATTCATATTTCTTTAGTTTTCTTCTTTTGCCTTACTCCTCAAGCTAGTATTGAGAGCTTATAACATTAAAAATTAGTGGGTATAATAGATATCCATGTCTCATTTCTGACTTCCTCTAGATTGTTTCAAGCTTCTGTTTACTAAGGTGTTAACTACATTTCTCATATACACCTTATTATATTGCATCTCAAGGATAAAATCTACTTAATATCTACATGGTCATGTTAGATAGTCTTTTTTATTCATGTCCGTATACTGTTTGAAAATATTATATTGAGGAATTTGAGTCTAGGGCTTGGTAGGATGAAAGGTAATATGGGATACAATATAATTATATTTTAACTTCAAATGTATAACATTAAAAAAACAAAGGCAAAATAAAGACTCTGTCTGGTAAAAGACAATAAAAACATGTATCATCCATTAGAATAAAGATGGATTTGTTCCAGTGATATGTAGATTCTTCATCATATGAAAACCAAAAATATAGTAAACAATACAAATATGAACAGAAAGACAAGTCACATGATTCTTTCATGAGGTATAAAAGGCCTTTAACAATACCTAACATATGTGAATGATAAATATCTTGGGATGTACAGTACCTGAAGAAGATAACACATCATAACAAAGGCTATGTCACCCTACAAGGTAAAACCTCTCAGCAATTCCATTAAAATCAGTAATGAGACAGGGCTACTCACTATCCCCACTCCCTTCCAATATAGTGCTCAAAGCACCCACTGAAGCAATAAAGCAAGAAAATAAACTTAGAGGACAAATAGCAAAAGAATTTGATTCATCCCTATTTGCAAATGGTATGATATTATGCTTAAGAGATCCCATTTCTGCTAGACTTACAGGTGTCAGACAACCACTGTACATGAACCACAAGTCCTGGGTTATAGTAAAGAGTCCACATAGCCCATTCATGCAGCAGTATGCATGTTGAGTTATAGGCATGAAACTTCCACAGTACATGTACTATCAATGTTGGGTTACTGGCTTGAACTTTGCATAGTACACTCAGATTGAATGTAGAGGTATTGGGATGAACATCCCACAGTACACATATCCTGAGTGTAGGATTATAGGCATTCATCTTCCATAGCACATGAACCATGATGTATAGGATTACAGGTGTCAGTTAATGACTATCCATGTACCATGGGTTCTATGCTACAGCAAATAGCCACTGTAGCATATCCACTATGAATCTGTTGTTACAGACATGAACCTCCCACAGTACATGCACAGTGGTTGCTGGGTTACTGATTTCAATCTCACATTCACAAGGAGTGCTGTGTTATACAGACAAACCTCCTATATTATATAGACCATGAGTGCTAGGAAACAGGTGTAAGACTCCCTCACTAGAGGCACCATGAGTGCTTGGTTACAAACCTGAGTGTCTTGGAGCACATGCAGTATGTGTACTGGTTTATAGGTATGAGCCAGACCACTACATGCATGCCCCAACAAATACACTTACTGTGAATGTTGGGATATAGCCTGAAGCTTCCCAAAGTACATGCACCATGAGTGTCAAATTACAACCATGAAACCACCATCTTTCATAAATACTGGCTTATAGCCATGGGCTTCCTGCAATTCCAGTACAATGAGTGCTGAGTTATAGGCTTGAGCCTCCCACAGCTTATGCACTGTAAGTGCTGGTATCCATATATCAGCCTCCCAAAAGACATGAATCATCAGAGTTTTGTTTCAGGACAGTGCCTGCCATGAGTTCTGGGCAACAGGCACGTCTTCTAAAATACATGTACCATGAGTGTAGGTTTACAGGCATGATAGACTGACTACATGTTCATGAGTACAGGTTTACAGATGTCAGCAACCTACCTCCATGGACTATGAGAACTGGGTTACAGGATTGAGCAACCATAGAAAATGTATCATGAATGCAGCCTTATATGAGTAAGACCCTACAGTGCATGCACCATAAGTGCTTCTTTATTCATATGATCATCCCACAGTAAATGCATGAGTGTTACACTATAGGCACAAGCCTCCCACAGTATGTAACATCAGCACTAGGATTTCATAGTTCAGCCTCCCATAGTACATGCATGCTGAGTACTTTTTGAGTCCTAACATCTTCCTTGGAGGAGGGGGTGAAAAGGCACAACATCAACAACCACAGACACCAGGAGTCTGGTGGAAGGTTTACAGCAGACTAATTTAACAGCAAGGGAAACCTTATATACCCTCCCAGCACCCAGGCATTCTGATTGGTTGACTGTTGACATTTCATGCTCATTTCTCATTGGCTAGACATGATCAGGACCTCTGACAGGACCTGTTGGTATGTACTCACGAGACACCATTTGACTGTTCTTTATTGGCTAAGCACAGACAGGATATTTGACAGCTCCAGGCAGACTCCAGCTTGGCGCCTTTTGGCCTGGTAGGCCTTAACTTCATACATATACTGGCATACAGATATCATCCTCCCACAAGATATGCATAATGAATAATGACCTACAGTCTGGAGTCCACCAAGTACATGAACCGTGAGTTCTGGGTTACAGGTTTAAGTCTTTTATACTATATGCTGCTCAGGTCAAGGTAGGCTTGTCTTCCTACAGAGTTCTTAGCCCACAGACCTTGAAAGAACAATACTCAACTTCATATGGAAAAGCAATAAGCATGGGATAGCCAAAACAATGCTGTAGAATAAAATCAGAATGGAATAATTAAATTTTAAATGGGAACCATTATTATTTTGACGAACAGTAATTCTACTTAAAATTCTACAATGAATTCATATCAAGTGGTAAACCGTTTTATATGTTCTCAATATTTTGATTATTTTTTCTGCATTCCTGAATTCAACTTTAAAAACTGTTTGAACTGTGTGTATACACTTGTGCCATAGTTTGTATATGACATTCAGTGGACAATTTTCAGGCATAATTATTTCATCTATGTGAGTTCTTGCAATCAAATCCAGGTAGTCGTTTGGCTGCAAGTGATCCCATTGGCCTTATTTTGGTTTAAAAATTATTTGTGTATATGCTGGTGTATGAGCTTTCATGTATCCAGCCCAGGTGTAGAAATAAGAGAAAAACTTTTAGAAGTGATCCGGGTCTCCCAGAGCCTGAACTCAGTTCATCAGGCTTAGCAGTAACCAACTTTACACACTGACAAAATTCTGTGACATTCATTCATGGTTATGAGAAAATAATATGAACAAGAGTTTAGCCCTAATGAATACATAAACAGTCCAAAAACGGTTGACAAAGTCATCATTTTCATATAGGATTTATTATTCAAATTGCCCCAAGTTCCTCTATTTTTAAATGATTATGATTACAATTTGAATAGGAGACAATATTCTACTGATGTAATGTTTATAATAATCATATATGAGATGAGCACCACTGATATGTCTCAATAAGAAAAAACTGTGATGTACAAGGTTGACAATCTGACCTTGATCAATGTCTTAGTTTTCACTGTTGGGAAGGGACAACTTGACTATGGCAATTCTTATAAAGGAAAATATTTAATTGGGGGTAGTTTACAGTTTCAGAGGTTTAGTCCATTATCTTTATTGTGGGACATGGTGGTGTACAGACAGATACTGTTCTTGAGAAACAGATAATTCTTCATCTTGATCTGCATGCAGGAGAAGCAACTGTGTGTCACACTGGGCATAGTTTGAGCATAGGAGATCTCAACGGCCACACCCCACAGTGACACACTTCCTTCATGAAGGCAATGCCTAAACCAACAAAACCATACCTTAAATAGTGCTACTACCTAAGGAAAAAAAAATAGTGCTACTATCTAAGGGAACCATTTTCTTTCAAATTACCTCAATTGCCATATGAAAGGGCCAAAAAAAAAATCCCCATGAGATTTTCTTCCAGTTGCAACATATCTGTCATGGCATAGAAACCCATAAACACACACATACATGATGGTAATCTTTTTTTAAAAAAAGAAATCTCATTGCCCTTAGATTATCTAGATTTTCTAGATAATTCCCTTAGAAGGCAATACTTCAAGATGGAATGCAAAATAAAAACTGGATCATAAATAAGGAGGAATGTATATATATATATATATTCACAGTACACCAAACTGTTATACAATGTACAATTGATTGCTGATTATTCTACATTATTATATCACCATGAAAATGCTTAGGGTACACAAATAATATATTCAATGGTTCCTATATCCTCTTCTATTATGCATTTTAATATTAACATTTTGAAAATGTATTGACAAAACTGTAGACATTGGGAGTGTATATTCTATCCTTAAACTTGTACTCAGGAGGCTGACACATGAGAAACATGAGTTCAAATGCAGCCTTGACTGTTTAGTGGCATCCAGGCCTGGCTGGAACACAAACAACATCTAAAGACAATTAGTGAAAACATAAAAAAAAGTATTAAAAACCCACCACCTTTTCAGACACAGTTATTTCAAAAGCATGATCACATACTGTCTGGTATTTAAATAAACAATGAGCCACTTAGATGATGTGCATCCCATTCTATACATTTCAGCAGAATAAAATTATCACCAACTGAAAGCACAACAGAAGAAAAATAGAAATCAGAGAAGTAATACATGAACTACCAAATAAACTTCTATAAATGGATTTGTCTCATATACAGAACACTTCAATACCAATTACAAATGCAAAATACAAGCAATACTGTGATCTTTATCATCAGACTTGAGTGAATATGGTAATGTATTTGCTTAAAGAATACAATAAAAAAGATGCAAATATTTGTTTTTGACATTAGAGACAACTGTGATGCCTAGTCATTATTATATTGATTACATAAATAGGGCTAGTGTCATATATGAGTTCTTCCCTATTTCCTAATGTCACGACTATATATAAAGGCTGTAAAATATTTATAGGGCTATAGACATCCGAATATTAAAGACAAGTTTGTGCCCAGGAACCAGGTGACTTTTTTTTTTTTGACAACTTCATATATATTTCCTGCTAGAAATGTAGGAAGATAACAAGGGTCTAACTGTCTGGAAAAAATAATATGAGGGGTAGCTCCACTTGCACAAAGAAGTCCATTTGGGTCCGATCAAACCAAATTAAAATGCTCATCGTTTGATTAAGTATGACGCTCTCGGGTGGCCGAGCGCATGGCGGGGAGACAGGAAAGCGGGGAGCACATGCAAACCCAGAACCATGTGCTTCTCCTCTGGGAGTCCACTTAAATACCCGGTGGGAGTGGCATGCTGGGATTTGGAGTCCAGACCAATGCAACTCCCAGGCCAGGGGGACTGGGATGGATGTCAGGGCCTGGAGCTATGCTCCAGACTTAACACTAACCTTCTTGGGAACAATCAGGCACATGGATGTACCCAAAGACACACTGACATCACATAATAAAAATTAGAACAAATCCTTAAAAACATTTTCAGTCTTAACCATTTTTTTCTATGTAAACATTCATTCCTGTAACCCAGATATTGAGGCATCAAAACATTTACATAAAGAGGTTTTTTTTATTATTATTTGGTTTGTCTGATAGAAAGCAAGCATGTAGGCTTTAAAATCAGAGAATACTTCTCAGTTGTTGGTATCACTTGAAATGTTTAGAGAATGCCAGTCTGTAGAGGAAATATTTCACTGGTGGTAGAATTTGAGATTTTTAAATCCTCACATCAGTTGCTACTTTCTGCTCCATGAAATTATGAGCTCTTAGCTTCCTGTTTTCGCTGTCATGATTGGCACAAGATAATCTTGTATCCTACTAGAACCATGTGCCAAACTAAGATTTTATGAGTTTCCTTAGACATTGTGTTTCATCACAGCAATAAAAAAAGGCATTACCACACATTCATAAAGTTTTATACTTGGATGAGTTATTTCATGTAATTGAAAAGTGTGATATTCAAAGTTTACCTTTATTCAAATTCACAGTCCATGAGTTTGATAGAAAATATATTTTTCTCCAGAAAAATAATTTTTGTAATAAAATGTAAGTTTGTTGGTTAAAGACTTTAATCCCTTATATTCATAGATTCTCATTCAGTATGAGGTCTTTAAAATCCTCAAATTCTACTGTGATATACAAAGGCTTTAACTATTAACACACTTTAAGATTTAATTTTGGATAAATTCTTTTAGTGTCAAAAGCTAAGGTAATGGGCAAAGACATCACAACACTGCTTACTTACATAGGGTTACTCTCCATTATGAATTCTTTCATGACTGAGGATAATTGTGACATGCAAAGGTTTTTATCACATTGCTTACATTTATAGGATTTCTCCAATATGAGATTTTTTTTAATTTAATGTAATTTCTTTATTGAATCTTTGGGAATTTCTCATCATACATCCCAGTTCTGCTCACCTTCCAGTCCAGTTGTAGCTTCACCTTATCCCTGCACAACCCTCCTACCAAAAGAAAATTAAACAATCAAATCAAAACAAAATAGGTAAGCAAACAAACAACAAAACAAAATCTCTTTGCTCTTTCATCTTTCCCACCTTTCCAACACCTTATTTGTCTTGGTGGTGTTTGGAGCCTTGGTGTTTCAAAGTATACCCTTTTGTCCAATCAGGTTTACTTGCAAATATTCATTGCAATGGGTCATTGGTTTTGTTCAAGGCCTCTGAGTTCTAGTATATCATCATTGAATCTTCACCAAAACTCCTCTTGGATATCCTACAGTTACCCCAAGTCATGGAGATCCTGAAGTATTGTTCCATAGGACCAGTCCCTTCATGAGTTTCAGTAAGTCCTAAATAGGGTAGATGTTAGAGTGGGCCAACTCCAGGCCCAGCTGTGTCTGAGTAGTAGTTGACCTGGTCAGTCCAGGCAACTAGGGCTTCCTCCCTTAGGCAAGGGGTGGGTGGAACTAGCTCCCTTATGGCCAAGATATCAGGGTAAATCCTCTTTCACCAATGGTGAGGGGTGGGGCCATATCCCCAGAGTGCAGGTGTAGGGGTAGTTCTCTTTAAATGTCCAATGAGAAACAGGACCAGCTATCCTGGGGCAAGCCAAGTGTAGGGATGGCTCAGCATGGCCCTCTGATTACATGACACAGTTTATATCATCCCCTGAGATGACATGGGACAAACAAAAACACAGAACCCTGTTGTAGCAGGGCCACAGATATAGACATTGCCCTCAGCTTGAGGCTTGAGCCTAAATGACATCCTGGCTCTGGGTAGAAGCAGAGGCCACTCAAGCAAGTATGGTGACCAGACACCAAAGTCACAGATTTTGGCTCTATCCTCAGGCTTCCAGGTAACATTTAGTGGCAACATAGGCCTGGTACTTTAACACAGACTCTAGCTGGGATAGAACCATAAACTCAGATATGGTCTGCAGCAGCAGCCAGGTTTGGATATCACTATTGCTCCAGGTGGCAGTGCCACTTGATGAAGGAGGGTTAACTGTCTATTGTGTTATTTTCATTGGTCAATAAAGAGACTGCCTTGGCCCCTTGATAGGACAGAAAATTAGGTAGGCGGAGTAAACAGAACAAAATGCTGGGAAGAGGGCTATGAGCCAGACGCCATGGAGCCAGCCACCAGGTCAGACATGCTGAATCTCTCCCGGTAAGCCACCACCTCGTGGTGATATACAGATTAATAGAAATGGGTTAACCAAGATGTGAGAGTTAGTCAGTAACTAACTCTCTAGAGATAATGGGCCAGGCAGTGCTTAAATGAATACAATTTGTGTGTTATTATTTCTGGGGCTAAGCTAGCTGTGCGGGAGCCGGGTGAGGCGAAAAGCAGGCCTGCCCGCAGCTCCTCACTACAGCCACTCAGATTGGCATGTGGCACTGGGATCTTAACATGACAACAGATCATTGGCATTCATATGGTCTTCCATGGTAACAGGAACCTCAGACATCAACACAGACTGTTGCTGCAGTAGGGCTATGAACCCAGATGTGGTCCTTAGCTGCACCTTTGGCCCAGATATCACCTGGAATTGGGGAGCAGCATGAGCTGCTCAGATCTGCATGGCCCCAGCTTCAACATGGACTCAGGTGGCTTGATCTGACCCTGTGAATCTACTTGGACCTTCATGGCTTCATGGGTTATGGACATCAATACAGACTGAGGCTATAACAGGACCATGAAGCCAGATATGGTCCTCAGCAGCAACCTGGGTTCATATGCCACCATGTTTCCTAGTGGCAGGCCACACAGGCCAGAATGGTTGTGGCAGCAATGAAGTTCTCAAACAACATGTCCCCAGGTGGCAACCCAGACCCCAGGAATTCACATGGTCTTTCTGGCAACCAGAACCACAGATCCTGGTTGCAGTAGGGTCACAGACCCATACTTGGCCCCCAGCTGTAGCCTAGGCCCAGATTTCACCAGAGATCAGTATATAACATTTATAGCTGTATAGTCCAGGACGCAGCATGGCCCATGGATACCAATATGGTTCCAGGTGGCAAATCAGACACCAGGAAACCACACAGCCTTTAGCTGCAACAGGAACAACAGATGTCAGCTCAGACCCTGGCTGTCATAGGGCTATGGACCCATACATGACCCTCAGCAGCAGCTCGGGCCTGTAACAAACAATGGCCCCATATGGCAGCACAGGCCACTTAGATCAGCATGACTCCAGTGGCAGAATGGATCTTAGACACCTAGATGACCACCAATGGCACCCCAGATACTTGGCATCCTTGTGTCATTTGTTGTGCCCTTGCTGTGGTACTCTCATGGGACCCAGAGATGGCCCTTGGCAGTAGCCCAATACTGGATATCATGATGGCCCTGAGTGATAAGAAAGCCTCCAACATCAGCCTACACCTTACCACCTTCACTTCTGTTCTGCCTTGTTCCCATAGCAAATGAATCATTCACTTCTTTCTCTATCATATACTTGCTCAACATATTGGAGCCAACTGTCTGATGCCAGGTGGCCCTTGAATGTCTTCCTGCCATGTTGTAAAAGGAGCAGTGGGCCACTTCCCGCCGCCCAACTCCCGGCTAGCTTTACCCAAAATAATTACACAGAAACTGTATTTATTTAAACACTGCCTGGCCCATTAGTTCTAGCCTCTTATTGGCTAACTCTCACATATTGATTCAACCCATTTCTAATAATCTGTATCGTCACTTGACTATGGCTTGCCGGCATGAGTCTAACCAGCATCCTTCTCAGAGAGAAGAGCCATGGCATCTGCCTGACTCTGCTTCTTTCTCCCAGCATTCCGTTCAGTCTACTCCACCTATCTAAATTCTGCCCTATCAAAAAGCCAAAGCAGTTTCTTTATTTAACCAATGAGAGTAACACATAGACAGAAGACCCTCCTACACTATTTCTCCTTTTTCTGTCTAAACAAAAAGAAAGGCTTTAACTTTAACATAGTAAAATTACGTATAACAAAACAGTTATCAAGCAAGAATTATAGTCACAATATTTATATCTAGTTTATCTTTTATCATAACAAAGGAAAACTATAACTATCCATTCTTCAACTCCATCAAAGACTCCAGAAGGATATAATATTACCTAAGTAAACAAGAAGTAAGCAACTTCCAAAACTCTAGAAATGACAGAGACATCTCACTGCCTGGACAGTCACCCAATGTTTTTTTGTACCGTTGGGGCATCAATCTTCACAGTCTACAGGCCCATAGTTTCCAGCAGACATTTCCATGAAATAGGAAATTTCAAAGGCAGTTCAGTCACTATGTATTGTGTCCTGCAGAATGTCTCACAGACTCTTTCATGAATTAGGAACCCTGAAGGATCATCTCACCTTTAGGTAAGTTCAGCAGTCCTCTCTCTGGGTTCCTCATGTCCAGTTTATGCAACAGTCCAGGCAAGAGCAGTTTCTTGCCCAAATGGCTATCAGACTCCATAAGGAGCCTCTTCAATGCCCATCTTCCTCTTGAAGGCACTGTTAATCAAGTTTTTTATGGTGTATCCTGTGTGCCAAGTTCATCTCAGTCAGCAGTTGAGTAATTTTTTGAGGGTGAAAGGTTCACAGTAACTTTTCAGGAGGGCGTGGTCTATCATACCATATTGGTATAGAAGCAATCCACAGGATCTCATTCTCTGTGTAAACAAAAGAAGAACCTCTTTTCCAAAGCATCATATCCTAGACCCAAATTTGGAAGTCATGATACATTTAGAACATACATGTTGGATCAGTTTAGCAGCCCACACAATGAAATGTCTCTGTATTTCGCACCTTCACAGTCAAAAAATTCAAAGAAAATACAATGTACAGAATCCAAACTCTGTGAAATTTCCATTTTTACGTGGTTTATTTTTTATTTCTTTTAACCTATGACTATCTGTACTCTGTCTCTTTGAAGACTTTACCTTTTTTTAAAGCATTAACTTTGACTTTTTAATACTCTTTCTTCTCTCTCCCAAGCCTATGTATGTCTATCTAACACTATGACCCATTTAAAGGTCTTTTATGTCTGAATCTGTCCTATTGTGAATCTGTAATTCTTTACTATCCAGGAGCACTTCTTAAAATGCTAAGTACTTCTTAAAACCTTAACTTGCATCATATAGGGGTACCGCTTATTTACTGCTCAGTCTAAACTTTAACCGTGCTGTTATTATGATAATTAAGATGGTTTCTGCTTGAGATCAGCACAGTTTAGCATGGCAGAGCCTCTCCTCTTGTGCTTCTGAGCCATGTGCACAGCACAGCTAGCATGGCAGAAATGCTTGTGCCTCTGAGTCATTTGTGCCTCTGAGCTGCGCATAGTCCTCCCCTTTCAGGCACACAGTGAGTTCAGTTTGCCATCAAGCAAGCCATAGCATTTTACTCACAAAACCCCATTCAAAAGCTCTGTCTCCCGCAAGAGCCAGGGGTGGTGCTGATGGCACTGCCCAGAAACTGGTATTTTAAAACCGCCACTTTCGAGTAGACCTGATCCCGCTGCCTACACAGGCAGGAAGAGCTGAGCCACAGGCATGGTCTCAGCTACTTTGTTCCTGACCCCGAGTGGGCACAGAAACATCCCGGTCCAGAAATGCACCATAGCTGGAGTTTGCATCAGTTATAGGGCCCAGGAAGCTGTATTTTAAAATGGTGCAGCTTTTTTTTAAGGCTGCAGAGTCAGGAATTCTCTGTGGCATGTCACCCACAAACAGCAAAAAGCTGTGTTAAACTCTCTCCTTTTTAAGCCCTCTCAAGTTTTATGTGGAGTTAGTAGACCACGTTGCCACTTCCCACTGCCCGGCTAGCTTTACCCGAAATAATTACACGAAAACTGTATTCATTTAAATATTTTCTGGCCCATTAGTTCTAGCCTCTTATTGGCTAACTCTCACATATTTATTCAACCCATTTTCAATAATTTGTATCACCACTTGACTGTGGCTTACCGGCATGAGTCTAACCAGCGTCCTTCTCAGAGAGAAGAGTCATGGCATCTGCCTGACTTCTGACTTCTTCATTCTGTTTGGTCTACTTCACCTATCTAAATTCTGCCCTATCAAAAAGCCAAGGTAGTCTCTTTATTTAACCAATGAAAATAACACATAGACAGAGACCCTTCTACACCACTGCCACCCCAGGTCATGAGGACACAGAATGGTCTGTGGGTTGCTTGATGCCACTTGCATTTAGTAGCATGAGATGGGCCCTGGATGTCTTCTGTCCAGTCAAGGTATTAAGGACCCAAGTTGGCATGCTGGTGGTTTGTGCCCACCCGAGTCAAGTGGTATCACATGGGCCCGGACATATCTTCCTGCCATGGCACAATTAGAGGAACCAGGCTGGCTTGTGTCTGCTTGAGCAGAAAGCGGTCAAATGAGCCTTGTATGTCTTTCTGCCACCCCAAGTCTCGAGGACCCAGGTTGGCTTATGGGTGGCTTGTGCCCATCTGAACAAAGTGGCATCAGATGGGACGTGGATGTCTTCCCCTAGTATGAGTGTTTTTATGAATCTGGAGATGAGCAGGCTGTGAAAAGGTTTTCCCACATTGCTTACATTCATAAGGTTTCTCTCCAGTATGAGTTCTTTTATGTGTTTGGAGAGCACTATGTTTTGCAAAGGCTTTTCCACATTCATTACATTCATAGGGTTTCTCTCCGGTATGAGTTCTGTTATGTGTTTGGAGACTACAGAGGTATGAAAATGCTTTCCCACATTGGTTACATTCATAGGGCTTTTCTCCAGTATGAGTTCTTTCATGCATTTTAAGAGAACTACAAATTGCAAATGCTTTCCCACATTGTTTACATTCATAGGGTTTTTCTCCAGTATGAGTTCTCTTATGAATCTGGAGATGAGCAGGTTGTGAAAAGGCTTTCCCACATTGCTTACATTCATAGGGTTTCTCTCCAGTATGGATTCTTTCATGTATTTTAAGATAACTATAATCTGCAAAAGCTTTCCCACATTGATTACATTGATATGGTTTCTCTCCAGTGTGAGTTCTTCTATGTATTTGGAGACTACCATGTTTTGAAAAGGCTTTACCACACTGATTACACTCATAGGGTTTCACTCCTGTATGAATTCTTTCATGTCTTTTAAGATGACTGTAATCTGCAAATGTTTTACCACATTGTTTACATTCACAGGGTTTCTCTCCAGTATGGGTTCTTTTATGAGTGTGGAGATGACTCTGCTGTGAAAATGCTTTTCCACATTGATTACATTCATAGGGCTTTTCTCCAGTATGGACTCTTTTATGAATGTGGAGGTAACTCCGTTGTGAAAAGGTTTTACCACATTGACTACATGCATAGGGCTTCTCTTCAGTATGACTTCTTTTATGCCTGTGAAGATAAATGGCACATGTAAATGCTTTACAACATACATTACGTTGATGCATGTTTTTCTATCTGTATGACTTAATTTGACAGTTTGGTATAATGGTAAAGAAGAGTCAGACCTTAAGACTTTACCAGGTTGTTTACATTCATAGTGCTCCTCTTCATTTTGGGTTCTTTTGTGTGCATGAAGATACCTGTGATATTAAGAGCACTTAGTACATGGCTCATATTTATAGCATTTTTATGTGAGTTTTTTCATGTAATTCAAGAAAACTGGAAGAACTCAGAGTTACACACTGGTTACATTCATAACATTTTCCTATACTGTGAGTCACACTACATTTGCAAACTGAACCAGGACAAACAGAAGAATTTCTACTTTTTGTATTCAGAATTTTCTGTGGTATGAGTTAATATATTTCAGGTGAATTTTTAAAAAAATAATTGTAAACTTATTTCACATTCAGAAAGTCTACTTAAAGTGGGGACTATTGCATATCTTCTAATTGTTCTAGGAGAGAGGTACATTGCTATTCTTTCCTTATTCTTTAGGCATACATGGCTTGTTTCAAGAGTGACATATAATATACCAATAAAGACAGAGCAAATTAAAGTTTCCATATTGCACCAAGACAGCTTAATTTTTTTGTTCCTCAAGGAGATATGCTAGTAAAGTTTCTCCACAATTACCTTCTTGATTGTAATAAATTGCTACACTCACAATAATTTGGTAACTTACCATAAGAACACGAGTAGCACTAACTTTACTAGGGATTATTTGCTTATTAGAAGACTTTAATACATACTTATGATCAGGTATGTGCTTTAGTATATCACAATGGTATGGAACTAAATTGATTGATAGACCTACAGCCTAGCTCTCATGGGTCTATGATTAAAATGGTGATACTTGTTAATGCATTGTTTCTTTCCTTTCTTCTTTTTTTTTTTTCAGACAAGGCTTCTCTGAGTTGCTTTGGAGCCTGTCCTGGAAGTAGCTCTTATAGACCAGGCTGGCCTCAAACTCACAGAGATCCACCTGCCTCTGCCTTCCCAGTGCTGGGATTAAAGGTGTGTGCCACTGCTGCCCAGTAGTGTTTTCTTTCTTAGAAGAATGCCTTGTAAACAGATTAGATACTTGACATTTAGGTACATAGTGTTGGAAGAATTTAATAATTATCAATGCACTTAAAGGTGTGCTTATTTAGACAGTTGCTTTTCTTTAAAACTTCTAAGGCACATTAAAATTCTTCTGTGAGACATCTCTATTAGCTTGCACATGAAAATTACCTTCCGTGTCTTCTAAATCTTTGACAATGTTCTTCAATATTATGGTCTTCCCATTTGTAGCCTAAAATATAGAACCGGAAAATAAATGATATATTACTGGAAATTATACAAATTTTAAGTTACTATATTTAGTGACCATAAGAACAATGCCTGATTTATTCACCTTATTCTTCAGCTTTTTCAGACTCAGTTATAGAAGAACATCAATAACCAAGACACAGTTGTCTCCTTATTTTAAATGTTGAAGGGAAATTCAGTCTTACCTAGAGCAGTAAGGTTACTGTAGGTCTCCAACATCACATCTTTGTAGAGAATTTTCTGGGAAGGTTGCAGCAAAGCCCATTCTTCGCAAGAGAAGTGGATGTTTACGTCATCATAGGTTACTGCATTCTGAAATATCCCATACATGTGTACAACAGAAAGTGTGATACTGATCACAATGTCAATGTATACATCTTTGACAGTATAATAGCACAATTATTGTGTTTCATACTTATTCCATTACAGAGAGGATTTTTTTTTCTAGAAAGAAACTGAAAAGGAGGTTCAGATGTGTCATTTCTTTTCTCTTTGAATAGGATTTACCCTTCCAAGAGAAATGACTATTAACAGACATATAGAGACAAGGATAAAAAAACAAAACAAAACAAAAAGAGATTAGGTATGCATCAGAGAAACTGAATGAACAATTGCTAACTACAAAAAAAGATGTTTACTCATTTTGGTATATACTGTCTCATGCCTTTAATCCTACCACTCAGGAGGCAAGGGCAGGTGAATCTCATTAATTAGGGGCCTGTCTGTTCTATGTAATGACATACAAGACAGCCAAAGGTCATATTTGGACCCTCTTCCACTCTCCATAAAAACTTAAATCAACAAACAAAAAAGAGGATCTCACTGAAGTTCCTATAAAGAGATATGCATTCATTTCAGTTTTGCACTCATTTCCAAAAACCTGAAATGTCATAGTTTAAATTGTAAGATGAATAAGATCTTACTAAAAGGAAATGCATGTTTAAAACCATTAGAGATGGATAGCTGAAAATGCAAGCATTGTAAATGAAAATCATGAAAAAAAAGGAAAAAAAAAACAGGGCAGGATAGGTGGCCCAGGAGTGAACAACATTTTCCGATCTTGTGGAGGAGATGAGTTCAATTTCCAAAACTTTTATGAGGGCTCACAACTATCCATAACTCCAAGTTCAGGGTTTCTGGGACCATGTTCTGACTACTGGGTTCACCAGGCACATATGTGGTACATATCCATGTAGACAGGCAAAATACTCACATTTGTCCAAAAATTAAGACAGACACAAAAGATAGTAAGAATGTCACACACCTGCATTCCAATGACTCAAGAACCAAAATAGAATTACTGTCATGAATGTATGCTCTTCAAAGAGAAAAAAAAAGATAGCCTCTGCCAAAGTTTATAATTCAAGACATTGGTGAAGTTTATCACAACAGCATATGTTTGACATGTACAAAAAACTACATTCCAGGTCCACCAGCCAATAATATGAAACTTAAAAACCTGTGCATGATAGCCCACACCTTTAATATTAGCACCCGAAAGCATAATGTGGCAGATCTCTTATTTTGAGGCTGGCCTGGTTTCAAGAGCTATTTTCAGGACAGTCAGTGCAATATAGAGAAAGCTTGTCTTCTAAAACAAAACAAACAAATAATAACAACAAACAGGTGACTAAACTGGCTTAGGGATGAAAAGCACTTTCTTCTACTGTTTCTTATTTAGGCATGGTGGTGATATCTGGTCTGTACAAATAAAGCATGGATAGAGGGCAGATCTAGCCACTAGATAACCATAGAGGTCTGGAGATCTATACAGACAGATTGGAAGTGATGTGGTTGGGCAGTGAGAGGAAGTGATAAAGAGAAAGAAGATAGAAGCTCACTCTTTTCAGCTGGGACGTTGAATAGGGAAGGTGGCTGTGGTTTGTTCCTTCATCTCTCTTATCTCTCAGCATTTTTCCCTATCTCACTCTTTGCTTTTATTATTAAGACCCATTAGAACTTGTGCTACAAGGGATAGAGTCTGCAATGATGGTGAATATGTGACAGCATGAGAAGGAGCTGTTAATCAACTTCAATCACAAGAAAGTAGACACAAAGTATAGGAAATGGGGTAAGGCTATAGACCTTCAAATCACATTCTCAATGAGGAAGAACTTCCACTACAGGAAATGGGGTGAGGCTATAGACCCTCAAATCAGATTCTTAATAAGGAGGAACTTCCTCTAGAAAGGCCCCTCCGACTAAAGATTCCATAAGCAACAAAAAAAGTCACCAATGAGAGCCAAGTGTTCTCATATATCATCCAATACAGGAAGTTTTTTATTAATCAGTCACATTCTGATTTAGGTCACTATAGGCATGATGAAAATGTAGTTAGTTCATGTGTTCCCCTGAAAGCCCTCCTTGTTACTTAAGTTTCTCTGTGTCTGTGGATTGTAATGTGATTATTCTAACAGCTAATATACATTTATTAGTGAGTACATCTCATGTTTGTCTTTCTGGGTCTAGGTTGCCTCACTCAGGATGTTTTCCTAGATCCATCCATTGCCTGCAAATTTCATGTCATTTTTTAACAGCTGGGTAATAATTCATTGTGTGTGTAAATAAACCACTTTCTTGATCTATTCTTCAATTGAGGAATTTTTAGGTTGTTTCCAATTTGGGGCTATTAAGAATAAAGTTCCATTGACCATAGCTGAGCAAGAATCTTTGAGGTAGGGTAGAGCATCTTTTAGGTATATGCCCAAGAGTGGTATAGCTGGGTCTTGAGGTAGATTGATTCCCAATTTTCTGAGGAACCACTATATTGATTTCCATAGTGGTTGTACAAGTTTTCACTCCTACTGGCAATGGAGGAGTGTTTCCTGTGCTCAACTTCCTGGCTAACATGAGTTGTCACTTGTGTTATTGATCTAAGCCATTCTGATAGGTATAATGTAGAAATTTGGTGTAGGAGGTCCTTCTGTATTTGTGTTGATTTCATTGGTTGAATAAAGAAAATTGTTTTGTCCTAGTTAATAGGTCGAACTCAGGTAGGCGGCAGAACAGAATTCTGGGAGGAAGAAAGCAGAGTCAGGGAGAGCCACCATGGAGTCGCCAGAGTCAGACATGCTGAATCTTTCCTGGTAAGCCACAGCCTCATGGTAATACACAGATTAACAGATATGGGTTAAAGCAAGATGTTAGAGTTAGCCAGTAAGAGGCTAGAGATAATGGGCCAGGCAGCAATTTAATTAATACAATTTCCATGTAGCTGGGCGGCTGGGAGCTGGGCAGGATGAACAGCAGTCCTGCTCCTCATTACTACAGATTGGCACCTCAACGTGATGGACTAAATCCATTTAAAAACCTGAGAGGGCTTAAAAAGGACACAGAGAGAGTTTAACATAGATTTTTGCTGTTTGCTGGTGGAGTATTGTAGCTCCTTTAAGAGAAATTTTCCTGATTCAGCTGTAATGGGGGGGGAGCCATGCCATTTTAAAACGAGGCTTCCTGGATCCTGGTGCTGGTGCAAACTCCGGTTATGGAACATTCACGGGCTCAGATGATTATGTGCCCAATCGGGGTTGGGAACAAATTAGCTGAGACCATGCTCATGGATTAGCTCTCCCTGCCTGGGTAGGCAGTGGGATCAGGTCTACTAGAAAGTGGCAGTTTTGAAATACCAGTTTCTGGACTGTGCCGCCAGCACCATCTCTGGCTCCTGCAGGAAACAGAGCATTGGATGGGGTTTGTGACTAAAATGCTACAGTTTGTTTGATGACAACTGGACTTGCTGTGTGCCTAAAAGGGGGGCATTGCGTGCCATGGCTCAGAGGCACAAGTGACTCAGGCACAAGCAGCTCTGCCATGCTATTGGTGTTGTAAGCATGGCTCAGAAGCATGAGCGGCTCCACCATGCTGAACTGTGCTGATCTCAGGCAGGAACTATCATAATTATCATAATAACAGCAGTTAAGATTTAGACTGGGCAGGAAACAGGTTGTACCGTATTACCACTATATGGTGCAACTTAAGTTTTTTAGATGTGCTTAGCATTTTAAGAAGTGTTCCTGGATAGTAAAGAATTAAAGATTCACAATAGGACAGATTCAGATATAAAAGACCTGTAAATGGGTCACAGTGTTGGATAGGCATACGTAGGCTTGAGAGAAGAAAAAGAGTAATAAAAAGTCATAAAATAAAGTTAATGCTTAAAAAGGGTAAAGTCTTTAAAGAGACAGAGTACAGATAGTCATAGATTAAAAAAATAAGCCACAAAAAATGGAAAATTCACAAAAAGTCTGGATTATCTGTATTATTGTATTTTCTTTGAATTTTTTGACTGTAAAGGAGCTAAGTACAGAGGCACATCTCATTATGGGCTGCTAAGATAAGCAAAGATGTATATTATAAAGGTATCTTGACTTCAGAATTTGGGTTGAAGGATATGATGCTTTGGAAAAGAGGTTCTTCTTTTGTTTACACAGAGAATGAGACCCTGTGGATTGCTTCTATACCAATATGGTATGATAGACCATGCCCTCCTGAAAGGTTGCTGTGGATACCTTCAGAAAATTATTTCACTCAACTGGTGACCGTGATGAACCTAGCACATTTGATTAACAGTGCCCATTCAGCACGAAGCAGTTTGGAGAAAAATAACTGCACCTATATTCCCAAATATTGTTTATAAATATTCTTTTACATTTAAAGGGGGATGAGATAGATATAAATAATTTGCATTGGTATAAGTTTTGCCTTATTGATAGAAATTTAAGGTCAATTTTGTTATATGTATATGTATTTCTGATCTTGATTAAGGTATTGTGAGTGTGTAGTTCATTTAAAAATGTGTAATTAGGAAATATAGGTTGTTAATGGATAATCATCGATAATAGTCAAGTTTGTAGTCATGTTAGATTTTTTAGATATACAGAGATATATTTCAGTTAGATAGGCATTCTTCATATCTTTCAAAGACTACAGAATATGGCATTTTAAATGTTTTAATAACTTAGGGTTTTTCATGACAATGAGACACGTCTGCTCTTGACAGCACCAATCTACTTCATGAGGAAGATGGGTATCAAAGAGGTTCCTTATGGAGTTTGATAGCCAGTTGGGCAAGAATCTGTTCTTGCCTGGACTGTTGCATAAACTGGACACAAAGAACCCACAAAGAGAGGACTGCTGAACTTGCCTAAAGGTGAGGGTTCCTGATTAATGAAAGAGTCTGCATGACATTCTGCAGGATACAGAAAAAAGTGACTGAACTGTCTTTAAAATAACTGTTTCGTTATATGTAATTTTACTATGTTAAAGTTAAAGCTTTTCTTTTTTGTTTAAACAGAAAAAGGGGAAATGTTGTA